CACCTCGGCTCCGTTGTCTTTCGCACCTAACGGTAGACCCACGGCGCATCATCACTGCTCGACACGGACGGCGAAACCTTGAGGTCTGACGGTTCTACCATACTGGGCGGTGATTGCAAGGCGGGGTTGGCCATCGTATTGGAAGGACTGACTTCATTGGTGGAGTCGGGCATAACTCGGCGTCCGGTTCAGGTGGTATTCTCGCGTGCTGAAGAAGGTGGTCTGAACGGAGCGCGCAATCTGGATTTCTCGCTGATCGAGGCAAAAAGTGGCATCGTGTTTGACGGCGAAGGACCCGTCAGCCGCATCTGCGTCGGTGCGCCAGCCCAGAACATCGTGCAGTGTCGGATAACCGGTGTGGCGGCCCACGCCGGTCTCGAACCTGAAAACGGTACGTCAGCGCTGCTGGTTGCAGCTCACGTGCTTTGTCGGCTGCCTCTGGGCAGGATCGACTTTGAAACCACCAGCAACATTGGTTTGCTGGAAGGGGGGTTGAAGCGCAACATCGTACCGGAATCGGCGTATATGGACGGGGAGCTTCGGTCGCGCGACCAATCCAAGCTTGAGAATTACACCAACGAATTCCGTCGGGCGTTCAACCAGGCTGGGGCCCTGTTTCCGGACGCCAGGATTGACCTGAACATCTGGAATCAATATCGGGCGTATCAAGTGCCCGCAGACGACGCGGCGCTGAACGAGATCGCGCGATCAGTCACGGCGGCAGGTTTGTCTCCAACGCTGGAGACCACCGGGGGCGGTTCGGATGCCAACGTGTTTTTCGAGCATGGAATTACCGCTCTCCCGGTGGGCATCGGGGTTCGAGATTTTCACACCACTCGCGAGACCGCCAACCTCGGCGAAATCGTAGATGGAGCGCGCGTTTGCGAACTGTTTGTCGCAGCTCATTAAGACGCCCGCAGATCCAATTGCGATAACGTCCTGCAAAGAGTTGGAACCCGTTCGGAGTCTGCAGGGTAGGGCGAATCTGACTCTGGCGCACCGGCGACGCTTGACAGGCTTGTAGGCGTTGGCTACATTCTGACATCGTTGGAACACAAAGCGCCCAAACCCCCACACGGCGGGCCGCGTTGACTTGATACCTCACCGCTCGGAAGGCTACCCAATATGGGCACACAACCAACTGAATCCGCTGCCCCCTCCAATTCGCATAGCAGCACTGATGCCGGCCTGAAAAACGCCGGCCCGCAGTTGCCGAGCATGTTCGATCGCTATCGGGCAAATCTGGAAGAGGCGATGGCCGCGGGCGTACCCGCAGCGGGCGATAACTGCATCAACACTGTGATGCGGTACCATTTGGGATGGGTAGACCGCCACGGCAATCCGTCCCCCAACCCCTCTTCCCAAGGGAAAGCGCTGCGCCCCACCCTTTGCATGTTTGCCTGTGATGCATTGCAGGGAGACCCACGGCAGGCAGCGCCAGCAGCCGCTGCGCTGGAACTGATCCATAATTTTTCCCTGGTACACGACGACATACAGGATGAGGGCACCGAGCGACGCCATCAACCAACGGTGTGGGCGCTGTGGGGGACGCCCAGGGCGCTGGTGGCGGGTGATGCCATGCAATGCCTCGGCGACCTGAGTTCCCTGCTCGCGAACGGAGAAGTGCCTGCGAAGACTGCGATGAGGGTGTCGCAGTTGCTGACTGATAGTTACCTGGAGATGATTGAGGGTCAGTGCCGCGATCTGCAGTTCGAACAGCGCGCGGCCATCGAACCCGACGAGTATCTGGAAATGATAGCCCTGAAAACGGGCGCCCTGATCCGCAGCAGTCTGGCGATCGGAGCCACAATTGCGGTAGATGACGACGATACCGTGGCGGGTGTGGCCCGTTTTGGCAGAGCCATTGGCCGGTTGTTTCAGATTCGCGACGACTATCTGGGCATCTGGGGGGATGAGGCCATAGTCGGGAAGTCAACGGATAGCGACATCGTTCAACGCAAGAAGAGCTATCCAATCGTGTTCGCTTTCAAACACGCTTCAGGCAGTTCGAGGGAAGAGCTCACCCGACTGTATGCGCTGGAGTCAATGGAAGAAAGCGATGTAGACCGCGTGATGGAAGTTCTGGAAGAAATCGGAGCCGACAAGCAAACAAACGAGCTGACCACCTCGACTGCTCAGGAAGCGTTGGCCGCGCTTGGGTCACTGGAATTGCCGCCCTGGGCGACCGACGACGCTGAAAAATTGGTGGAATTCCTCGCGAGCCGCCTGTTCTAGCGGCGTTACGGAACCTGATAAAGTTTCCCTCTACTCTGGAGATACTAAATGGTTCAAACTAATACAGATGCGATGGTCGCCATTAAACCCGCGAAACGCCCGGTGGAACTGGGGTTGCGGATGGGATGGTATATCGTCAAGAACAAATTGCTGGGACGAAAGCGATTTCCGCTGGTAACCATGCTGGAGCCGCTGGAAATGTGCAATCTGGCCTGCATCGGGTGCGGCCGCATTAGGGAATACCGCGGGGTTCTGGATAAAATGATGCCGGTGGACGAAGCCCTGGCTGCGGTGCACAGCTCCGGCGCTCCCATCGTGTCGATTGCCGGTGGTGAACCAACCATCCACCCGCATATCGACAAAATAATCAAAAAGCTGGTGGAAGAAAAATATTTTGTCTATTGTTGCACCAACGCCCTGCTGCTGGAACGGATGCTGAAGAAAATCCCGCCGTCGAAGTATTTCTGCTGGGTAATACACATGGACGGAATGGAAGATAAACACGACGAGTCAGTGGCCCGGGAAGGGGTATTCCGACGGGCGATCGATGGGATTCGCATGGCGGTGTCCCAGGGATACCGGGTATGCACCAACACTACGGTATTCCGCAATAGCGACGTGGAGGACCTGCGGGGAGATGTTCCGGCACGTTAGCGACCTTGGCGTCGAAGGATCAATGATATCTCCGGGCTATGATTTCGAAGCCGCGCCCGATCAGGATCTTTTCCTGACGCGCCAGGAATCCCGCAACGTGTTCCGCGACCTGCTCGACCCGGCCAAAATAGCCGGCATGAGGCTGTATAACAACCCCCTATATCTCAATTTCCTGCGCGGCGAACGGGAATATCAGTGCACCGCATGGTCCAATCCTACGTATACGGTTATGGGGTGGCGGAAACCCTGCTACCCGCTTGCCGACGAGCACACCGAAAACCTTGATGACCTTTTTGAAGCCAACCTTTGGGAAGAAAAATACGGCGTGGGACGAGACCCGCGATGCAGCAATTGCATGATGCACTGCGGGTTCGAGTCAGCAACGATTTTCAACGCAATTGGCAAACCGAGAGAATGGGGTTACGTTTGTCAAATCCGGCGCTGCCCACAAGGGTGGCATCAGCGTGGGCTGACCGATGCTGATCCGGTTTCAGGCGGCAATCTGTCCGATAAAACGACAGACAATCCGCCGAGAACAGGCCATCCGTTGAAACAGCATTCTCTCGAGGAAACAGACACCGACAGTAAGGCGACCGGGTTAACAGAGAATAAATTTTAGACGGTCGTTATGCCCGAAATGCTTGCAATACTGGCTCCAACGGCTACAGAACTAGGGGGAATACGGCGAGTAGTCGGCAAGGTCGGCGTGGCTGCAATCACGCTGCATGTTTCGGGAATCGGAAGAAGCGCCACCCTGAGGGCATGCAATGAAATAGCGGCTTGTAAACCGGACGTGATCATTATGACCGGATTTTGCGGAGCAACAGATCCCGGACTGAATACGGGCGATCTGCACATCGCCGGAAAGTTTATCCACGGCGAGGAAACCGCATGTCTCCCCAGCGATTTCGGCTTGCAGTCGACGTTGTTGAGCGCCGCCACCAGCTGCGCGCTGGCGATCTGTGCGGAGCCATCGGCTACCATCGACTACGTAGCTGACGCTGCCGAGAAAGCAACGCTGCGCGATTCTTTGGGGGTAGCATCCGTCAACATGGAGGATTACTGGGCCGCCGGTGCGGCAGCGCGGGCAGGAATCTCGTTTGTATCGTTGCGAGCCGTACTGGATACGGCCGGGGAGTCGCTGCCCCCATTCCTCGCTGATGGTAACAAATCTTCCCGGCGTATCGTGTGGGACGCGGTCACGAAACCGGCGCGTACGGCGGGCACGGTGCGATTGGCGAAACAGGCTCACGTGGCGAGACGCAATCTGACTAGATGTATTTCCCATGCCATCAGTTCAAATGCATTGTGCGCGGTGGCCCAGCCCGCCGGGGACCTATGACGGCGCTTGTGACCGGAGCAACGGGATTCATCGGCGGCAACTTGGCGCGTGCGCTCTGGCAACGCGGCGAGAAGGTGCACGCGCTGGTTAGGCCCGGCGCCAACGACATCGCCATCCGAGGCACCGGAGTACAACAATTCGCCGGCGACCTGCTGGACATGGACTCCTTGCACCGGGCGGCGGAGGGTTGCGATTCGGTATTTCATTGCGCCGCAGTGTATGCGTTCTGGTCCCGGCGCCCTGAGGGCATTTACGCTGCCAACGTCCAGGGGACTCGCAACGTCATCGAGACTGCCCTCAAGGTTGGCATGCGTCGCGCAGTATTTACGAGTTCGGTATCCACGATTGGATGGCCGGATGCTCCCGGGAAGGGGAACTCCACGCCTTCGCTGGCCAACGAAGAAACTCCAGTCAACCCGAAGCTGCTCGTGGGACACTATAAACGCTCCAAATTTCAGGCCGAACAGGAGGCGCTCACCGCAAATGAGAAGGGATTACCGGTGATCGTGGTCAATTCCTGCGCCCCGGTTGGCAAGTGGGATGTGAAGCCCAACCCCACGGGTCGTATCCCTCTGGATTTCGCACGAGGCCGAATCCCCGGTTACATGGACACGGGAATGAATCTGGTGGATGTGGACGACGTAGCCGAAGGGCACATCCTGGCAATGGAGCGGGGCAGACCGGGCCAACGATATATTCTCGGCAACCGAAATTTGACCCTCTTGCAAGTATTCAGGATGCTTGCCGATATCACAGGCAGGCGCGTCCCCCGGTTTCGATTCCCGTATCCGTTGATTTTGGGCGCCGCCTATGTGGATCAATGGATCCAGGGCGCAATTATGGGGCAAACGCCCAGGATACCCGTGGAAGGAATCCGGGTTGCTCGCCATCCCATGTACGTGACCTCCCAAAAAGCCGTTGAGGAGTTGGGAATGCCGCAAAATTCCGTGGAAATAGCCCTGGAAAAAGCGGTGCGCTGGTTCGCCGATCACGGTTACATTGGCACGCGAAGTTAGTTACGCTCAGGCTGAATAACCAATGCTTACTCGTGAACAAAATTCCCATTCAACCGGCGGCCCCAATGGGACGGGATTCCGAAAGTCGCTGGGCGAAGCGATTTCCCGGACACAGGCGTACTTTCGGCGGTCGCAGCATCCTGACGGGTACTGGTTGGGAGAATTGGAATCCAACAACACCATGGAAGCCGAGTACGTGATGTTGGGTCTAGTTCTCTCTGGGCAGCGGCAATCCGAGCAGCGAGGTCAGCATATCGTGCCGCTACCTTCTGAAGTGGCAAGAGTAGGATGGTTCGTGGCGGTTACTATGGAGCGGGGCGCGGTTTCACCGCGCCGGGCGTCACTTTTCACTTTCTAAACGTCGGTCGAGTGTTCTCCGCACTGATACTCGTGCGGCGATGCTCGGAAGCAGTACAGTCATGTGTCGGCACGGCAGTATTATCTTGTCGCTAGCGGTGGTTTGCCCCGAGTGCGTGTATTTACGCGCATTTGGCTATCTTTGCTGGGTCAGTGGAAATGGAGCGGCACTCCGCAACTGTTACCGGAAATGATCCTGCTGCCGCGGTGGGCGCCATTCAACGTGTACCATTTCGCCAGTTGGGCGCGAGGATGTATCGTGCCGTCTGCTGCTCGCGGGAGAGGTCATCTTCCGTCATCAGTTCGTCACCACTCGACGCAGTCGCGGCGGTACCCAAAGAATATTCCATCGATGAATTGCTACCCGACGGGCGCGCTGGAACCGACTACTCCCTGCCATCTCCCGGCGGCATCAACCTGGCTAAATTATTTTGGTGGGCTGAGAAAAAATTGCTTCCCTTGTACAACCGCCTGCCGGTGAACCCGGCTAGAAAATGGGCCCAACGCAAATCAGTGCAATGGATACTGGACCACCAGGAAGCCGACGGGAGTTGGGGAGGCATTCAACCACCCTGGGTTTATAGCCTGATGGCGTTGAGTGTATGCGGTTTCCCGAATGCACATCCGGTCATGCAGCGAGGGTTCGACGGTCTCGAAGCGTTCGGTATTCAAAAAGGCGACCACTGGACGGTTCAGGGGTGCATCTCTCCGGTTTGGGATACTTGCCTGATACTGCAGGCGCTGACCGAGAGCGGAACGTCCACGGACGATAAATCAGTGGCATCGGCAACGCGCTGGCTGGTGAACAAGCAGATCCTGACGGCTGGTGATTGGCAGGTACAGGTCCCGCACGCCCAGCCAGGAGGGTGGGCCTTTGAATTCCAGAACGATCGCTACCCGGATATCGACGATACGGCAGAGGTAGTGCTGGCATTGCGCCAGGGGCGGCTCCCCGACGAAGAAGACCATCTACGCGAGCAGGCTATTGAACGAGCCGTAGCCTGGATTTCCGAGATGCAAAACCGTGATGGCGGGTGGGCATCATTCGACAAGAACAACCATCACACTTACCTTACGGCACTGGCATTCAGCGACTTTGGCGAGGTAGTAGACCCATCAAGTGCCGATGTGACGGCCCATGTACTGGAAATGTACGGACGACTGGGTCAACGAACCGATAACCGCGCCCTGCAGGATGCCTATCGTTATTTGCGGGCCGAACAGGAAGACGATGGCAGCTGGTTCGGCCGGTGGGGTGTGAACTACGTGTACGGGTTGGGAGCGGTGCTGCCCGCTCTGGAAGCGCTGGGGGAAGACATGAAGCAGGCTTATGTGCGGCGGGCTGTGGAATGGCTGCTGGCGCACCAGAATGAGGACGGGGGATGGGGAGAATCCTGCGCATCTTACGTTGACGCATCCAAACGCGGGGTGGGTCCCAGCACCGCGTCGCAGACTGCCTGGGCGATTCTCGCCCTCTTGTCTACCGATTGTGCCGATCATCCCGCGACGCACTGTGGAGTAGAATACTTGCTCCGCACCCAACAACCCGATGGTCAATGGGACCAACCTTATTTTACGGGAACCGGCTTCCCCGGATATTTAAGAGGCGCTCGCATCGAAGAACCACCGAGACCGGGCGAACGTGGATTTCAGGGCAGCGAATTGTCAGCGGGTTTTATGATTAACTATCATTTGTACCGAAACACCTGGCCCCTTTTGGCGTTGGGGCGCTACCGGAATCAAATGCGCCAGGCTGACGGGAACGCTATTCAGATTGCGACGTCAATTTGAACCGATAACCAACCAGAATCTGCACCACTGCCGTGCACTCGTCACATTTCCAACCCGACACACTCAACAAACGTGCGGCTTATGAAAACCAAAAACTTTACGCTCAAGGTTAACACCGGATACGCTCCGGAATTTATCGATATCACCGATTGGGTTAAGAATTGCGTGATCAAGTCTCATGTGAGTAATGGCTTTGTTGTCGTTTATTCGCGCCACACCACGGCGGCAGTGAAAATAAATGAGAATGAACCGCTTTTGATAGAAGGACATGGGGCGCTTTCTCGAGCAGATGTGCCCGCGGAAAGGCGACTACCGGCATAACGACTTTTCCGTGCGTACCGTAAATATGAACGAGGATGAATCGCCAAACGGCCATGCGCATCTCCAGCACCTGATGTTGGGATGCAGCGAGACGATTCCCCTGGTTGACGGCGAAATGCCGTTCGGCCAGTGGCAAAGCATCTTCTTCATCGAGCTGGACCATCCGCGCCCGCGCGAAGTGATGGTGCAGATCGTGGGAGATTAGCGTTCGGACCCACCGGGAGTGCGGCGATGCCTATTGTCTCCGGAATATCAACGCCCATAGCTATGGAATCTCGGGTTGCCGACCGGGCCCCGCGCCTGACGGTCGAGCAGGCTTATGAGCATTGCGCTCGGCTGGTGCGCAGTCACTACGAGAATTTCACGGTGGCGAGCCGGTTGACGCCCAAATCGAAGCTGCCCCACGTCAGCGCGATCTACGCCTGGTGCCGCACTGTTGATGATCTCGGTGATGAGGCAGTTCCCGACCAACATGATCCAGCCGAGTTCGGACAGTCTGCAACGCGGGCGCTTGTCACAGAGCATCGTTTGGAACGCCTTGCGTGGTGGGAAGAAGAACTGGATACCGCCTATGGTGGGCAACCCGCTCATCCGGTAACCATCGCGCTGCAGCACACTATCGCTGAGTTCGGGATACCGCGAGAACCCTTTTTGCGTTTGATACACGCCAATCGTATGGATCAGGGATCCGGAAGGGTTCAAAACTTTGGAGATTTACTGCATTACTGCGAACACTCCGCAAACCCGGTCGGTCATCTGTATTTATACCTGTTTGGATACGACGACGCAGAACGACAGCGGTTATCCGACTTCACCTGTACCGGGTTGCAGTTAACCAATTTCTGGCAGGACGTGGCGCGCGATTATCAGGACCGGGACCGAATATACCTCCCGCTGGACGATATGGAGCGATTCGGCGTAAATGAAAGCAACATCGCCTCCGGAATCGCTATCGATGCCTTCCGGTCGCTGTTGCGTCATGAATGTGAACGCGCCATGGACTTATTCGCCCGCGGCGCGCCTCTGGTTCCGAAACTGGACCGATCGTCCCGCCTTCCGGTAGCTCTATTCACGCGCGGTGGCACAGCAATGCTCGATGCCATTAAGAAACGGAACTACGACGTGCTGAGCGGACGTCCGGCATTGTCGAGCCGGCGCAAGACGTGGTTGCTGCTATCCACATTGCTTTCAGTAAAATTAGGGATGGGATACCGATTACCGGCGCGCGGCGGTAAGGCATGAGCGGAACTTCCCCCACAGCTATGACCCAGTCTCCGGAAGTACTCGAAGCGGCCTACGAAGAGTGTCGACAGGTTACGCGTGAAGCAGCCCGCAATTTCTACTTCGCTTTCCTGACGCTGCCCGCCGACCGGCGACGCGCCATTTACGTGGCGTATACATTTTGCCGGTATTGCGACGATTCGGTGGACGCCGAGGGGACGCCGACCGAGAAATTGGAAAGGGTCAATCAACTCCGTCAGCAACTGAATGAAACCTACGCCGGGGAAGTGTCCCAACCACTGTTTATCGGACTGGCGGATGTGGTCAACAGATTTCACATCCCACGGGAATACTTCCACGAGGTTCTGAACGGGGTGGAATCTGACCTGGAGAAAACTCGTTACGCCGACTTTGAAGAACTGCGGCAGTATTGTTATCAAGTGGCGTCGGCAGTGGGCCTGATTTGCATCCACATCTTCGGTTATAGCGGGGGCGAGGAAGCGCGATTGCGTGCGGCAGACCTTGGTCTGGCCATGCAACTGACCAACATCTGCCGGGACGTGAAAGAAGACTGGGAGATGGGACGCATTTATCTCCCCAAGGACGATATGGCCCGGTTTGGCGTTTCTGAGGACGATATCGCCACCGGAGCAGTGACGGAAGGATTCTGCGAACTGCTGGCGTTTCAAATCGCCCGAGCTCGCGAGTATTTCAGCAGCGGCCGACAATTGTTGGGCCACTTGCCACCGCGGTCCCGCGCTTGCCCGGCAGCCCTCGGCCTCATCTATGGTCGTGTCCTGGACCGTATCGAGTCCAACGGATACGACGTGTACCAACAGCGCATCGGCCTGAGCAAGGCCGAGAAATTGCGCTTGATGGCGCGGGCGTGGCTCACCGGTCCGTTCCTGCATTGACCAACATCAGCCTATCTGCCTCCGTTGCGCCCAACGCGCTCGTATTGGGCGGAGGACTGGCTGGCATCGCCGCAGCGTTGCAACTGGCCGAATTGGGCTGGAACGTTACGCTCGTGGAAGCCAGAGCATCGTTGGGCGGAAGAGCGTTTTCATACCGCGACCCCGACAGCAGCCGGGAGGTGGACAACGGGCAGCACGTTATCGTCGGAGCATGCAGCAATCTCATCGAATTTTTGGAAAGACTGGGAGTCATCGAGAACTGGCACCTGCAAAATCGGCTGGACGTCCCAGTCTATAACCGTGCCGGGCGACTCGGGCGATTGTCAGGAATCCCCCTGCCGGCGCCAGGCCATCTGTTGCTTGCGCTCCTGCGATATCCACACATCGGGACGGCGGATAAGCTGCGGGCAGTGCGTGGACTCGTCGCTGCCTGGCGAATCGACCGGTCGACTCCGGGGTTGGACGAAATGACCTTCCATGCCTGGCTGCGAGAACGTGGGCAAACCGAACGATCTATCCGCAACCTGTGGAACGTGCTAATCGAAGGAACCCTCAATGACGACATTCGAGACGTAAGCGCGGCCATGGGGTTGATGATAATCCAGGAAGGGTTGCTGCGGGGTCGGCATGACGCGAACGTAGGATACCCGCGGGTTCCGCTGAATGATGCGATCGGCCGGCCGGCGGCCCGTGAACTGGACAAACTCGGCGTACGCCAGGTGACCGGACGCACCGTTCGGCAGATAAACACGAACCCAGACCTCTCCGTTCGCAGCGTAACCGTCAATGACGGCGATGAGATCGTCGCGGATATCTATATCAGCGCGCTCCCGTTTTGGATATTACCCGGAATCATTCCCGACAACCTCGCTGATCAGAAACCGTTTTCTACAATCACAGGACTGCGAACGTCTCCTATCGTGAACGTGCACCTGCTGTACGACCGGCACGTAATGGACGAGGATTTTTGTTATATCGTCGATAGCCCGTTACAGTGGGTTTTCAACGACTCGGCGATCCGGCGGGATGCCTCGGCACAGGAGCAGGCATTGACCGTTTCGATAAGCGCCGCCTGGAACCACATTGACAACCTACGGGCTGACATCGTAGAAACCATCGCTGCCGAAATGCGCGAGACGTTCCCCGGCGCCGCCCGCGCCGAATTGAAAAACGCAGTGGTCGTGAAACAACGTAACGCCACTTTCCGGTGCACCCCTGGCGCGGGATCGTTGAGACCCGGGCCGACCACTGCATCCCCGAATCTGTTTTTAGCCGGAGAATGGACCGATACAGGCTGGCCATCAACTATGGAGGGCGCGGTTATCAGCGGATATAATGCGGTGGCGGTAATTATGTCATTATGTGGTTTCGAGTATGAACCTTCTGGAGTTTAGTTAGTGGCAGACGATTGGATCCAGCAACGGCAAGAGCTAACTGAAGCCACGCGGGAAATGTACCGTCGGGGGCTGGTTGGCGCGTTCTCGGGTAACACGAGCCTGCGGCTCACCGGGTCTGGTGCGGAAGGACTGTTGTTGGTGACGCCGACGCATTTCCCGTACTATCGATTGGAACCGGAGCATCTGGTGGTAGTGGACATTGACGGCGTGCCGGTAACCGATGGGCAACTGCAACCGTCATCCGAGACGCTGTTGCATCTGGAGATCTATCGGCAACGGGATGACGTTGGGGCAGTGGTGCATACGCATTCGATCTACGCTTCGGTGGCATCGGTGGTGGGACGAGACATACCCCCGATAATTGATGAGATGCTGTTGACTATCGGGGGCGCAGTCAAGGTGAGTAACTATGCTTTCCCCGGCACGCAAGAATTGGCGGAAGCTGCCTATACTGCGCTCGGAGAACGCAATGCGGCGTTGCTTCGCAATCACGGAGTTGTCGGAGTGGGCCCGGACATCTGGGAGGCGCTCGAGGTGTGCGACCTGGTTGAAAGGCTAGCTCACATATTCGTGCAGGCGCGCAATTTTGGCCCCCGTGCTTCCGCCACGCTTCCCGACGATGCCATCGAGACCGAAATGAAAATGTACCTGGACCGGCGCTAGGTTGCGGCTCATTTGTCAGCTCCGAGCCATGACAGCAGAAACAGGATTATCGTCCCATGACCTCTAACCGCCAACCGGTTGACGCCCCGCCGGCGGTGATCGCCGTGGCGGGTTCGTCTTCCTTTTCGGGTGTCAACGTCTTGTTGCATCTGGAATCACAGTCACCAGAATGCCGGTTGGTGGCGTTGGATGCCCGACCTCTGCTCTGGCCCATTGCCAACGGGTCTGCACATCGCCTGAGCCGCGCTGCGACGCGCCAAACGGTGCCGATGGATGATTTGCCAAACCTTTTGGCCCTGGAAACTGTCGATACCGTTGTCCATGTGGGAAGTCATTACGATGGGCCGGACCTGGATGAGTTTCTGGCAGAGACGCCGATGTGGATAAAAGCCTGCGAGCAGGTTGGGGTTCGCAGGTTCGTCTATCTGTCGGACTACCGTGTATACGGAGTCAGGCCAGGAAAACCATTACCCATCTCCGAATCAGCGGAACCGCATCCGATTCTCGAACACGTTCGGGTGCGCGATGCCGAACCGAAGGCCAGAATACCGGCAAATCTGGTCCGGCCACCCGGATACATGAACATTACGGTACTAAGGACGGCGATGACCGTCGGACCAACGGCAGTACACCCGCATTCGAAGAATTTCTGGGTTTGGCAATGCGATCGAAAAAGATCTCCCGAATACCGCTGCAATTCCTGCACGAGCACGACCTCGCCCGCGCCGTGGTGGTCGCGATGACGAGGCAGGTGCCGGGCGTTTTCAATCTTGCCGGCGACGGTTCAGTATCGTTGGAAGATATTGCAACGATGTGTGGCGGTACGCGGGGAGCGATGGGCGTGCGAGTTCATCAGCAGGCTTCCAAAGCCAAACCACTGAAAGGCGATGCTGGTAATCCCGCCAAATGCCCAATGATTATCAGCACCACGAAATTCAAGCAGGCCGGCGACTTTCACTACCGCTATACCTCCGAACAGGCAATGCGAGCGTATTGCCATTCGGTTCTTCACGAACCGGGCGAAAAGCCGATGATCTCCGGCACCTCTGAACCCAGGCAAGCGGTGATTATTGACACCGACCCAGGGGTGGACGATGCCATCGCCATCCTGTTGGCCCTGGCATATCCGGGTTTCGAGGTAATCGGCCTGACTACTACGGCCGGCAACGTACCTCGATCACGGGCAACCAGGAACGCCCTGGCTTTACTTGATCATGTTGGCCGCAACGATGTTCCGGTGTACGCCGGCGCCGCACGCCCTATTCAGGGGAAATTCGCATACGCCCGACACGTCCATTCTCCGGCTGGACTCACGCGCCGGCTTCCGAATCCTGTGACGCTGCCGTCCAACGTTGGGGCGGTGCGATTCCTGGCGCAAAGTCTGCTCGCTGAACCGAATGACGTAACGGTGATCGCACTGGGGCCGCTTACCAACCTGGCCCGTTTGTTAAAACGAAACAGTCGGGCCTTGCAGTCAGCCAAACGCATTGTCATCATGGGCGGCGCAGTAGACTTTCCAGGTAACGCCACGACCCATTCGGAGTTCAATTTTTTCAGCGACCCTACGGCGGCTCGCCTGGTCATCGAATCGGGAATCCCGGTGACCCTGGTTGACCTGGCCGCTTGCCGGCAAGTTTATCTGACCCGCGCCGATGCCAGATCGTTGAGCAGCCCGAACCCGTACGGTAAATTGGCCGCGGAGTTGGTTTCCGGTTGGTTCAATCGGGATTGCAGCCGGGAGAAATTCTGGATGTACGATCCGTTGGCAGTTGTCGCCGCCATCGAAGCCAGGGCGTTGGACACGCACCGGTTGACCCTGGCCGTAGACGATGCGGGGACCACGAATGATGGCAATAAATGGGGGCGATGCACGGTAGTCTCCGGCGGCAATTCAAACGTGCTGGTCGCTCAACCGGATGGCGTGGACGCACGATTGGCATTGCAAACAATCACTCATCTGTTGGATTGGAGCCGCGCCCCGATCCCGACCGCCTGACATAGGGACACCAACATGCCTGACGAAATTGCGTTCTTGATAGTCGTGTTTGATGGTCTGCAACCAGCCCAGATAACTCCCGGTATGATGCCCAACCTTGCTCAATTCGCGTCCTCCGGTACGAGGTTTGATAACCACCATCCCGTGTTTCCCACCGTTACGCGGGTGAATGTGTCCAGCCTGGTTAGCGGGGTCCTGCCGGGAAAGCACGGCATCGCCGGCAACACGTTCCTTTGCCGGGATTTCGATCCCTGCAAAGTCATCCCGGCCATGAAGGACACGCTGACCGCCCTGGCAGAAAAAACGGGACGGGTTTTACTGACGCCAACCCTGGCTGACATCCTCGGCCAGCATGGGAAACAATACGTCGCGATCGGTACGGGTACCAGCGGGAACGCGTTCCTGCACAATCCAAATGCAGCCAACGCGGGCGGAGCGACGATACACCCCGATTTCACGCTACCGGTCGGGCTCCACACGGAATTGGAGCAGCGCTTTGGCGGTTGGCCCGAACAGAGCTTGCCCAATTCCGCGCGATTGGCGCATGCACGCAAAGTTCTAACCAACTATATCCTCCCGGAATTAGCCCCGTCGGTGGCACTGATTTGGTCATCGGAACCTGACAAGACACAACACGAAGATGGGGTCGGGTTGGGACGCGCGCCTTCTGCGCTGGGCGAAGCCGATGCGGAGTTCGGTGAACTGCTCAAGTATCTTGAATCCTCCGGGCGCGCTGAAAATACCAACGTGATTGTTTTGTCGGATCATGGCTATTCCACCATCAGCGAAGTCGTGCCGATAGAAGCGCTGCTCCGGGACGCTGGTTTTCCCGACATCTCGCAGTCGGGCGGTGTGGCCGTGGCCGGAAATGGTGGGTCAGTGTTGTTTTACGTGCACGACGGCGACTTACGCACGTCGCGGCAATTGACCGGTTGGCTGAAAACCAAACCGTGGTGCGGCGCGGTGTTTGCGTCCCGCCGGGTGGGTGAGTTCGAAGGCATATTCCCGGCTGCGCTGATTGGCTGCGACGGGCCGCGATCCCCGGATATCGTCATGTCGTTCCATTGGAACAGTGCATCAAATGCCGCAGGGTATTCCGGGTACGCTCCGTCGACCGGCGGGAAGGTTGGTCAAGGGCAACACGGCAGCGCCAGCCAACACGAATTACGCAACGTGGGTTTGGCGCGCGGCCCATCCTTCAGGACCTCTGTCACGGTGGAAACGCCCACCGGGAACGTGGACGTGGCGCCGACGATTCTGCATCTGCTGGGCATCGAACACGGTGAAACACCCATGGATGGCCGGATACTGGTCGAAGCGTTGGGCGGTGGCGCCGAAGAAATCCCGGAACCAACGACGGAAATCCTGCGCGCGGGAGTGGGCCAGTTCCAGCAGGCGATTCAGCTGTCTCGGGTAGGAGAAAGCACATACATCGACTGGGCCAACCGGGTCTGACACCTGAGATTGGCACACATTTTCAATGCCTTCCCGACAACCAAGGGCAGAATGAATGATTTGGCGGAGGGAGTGGGATTCGAACCCACGAACCCTGACGGGTTAACGGTTTTCAAGACCGTCGCATTCGTCCACTCTGCCATCCCTCCGCGATTTGGCCGTGACACCTGGTGGGTTATCCGCAACTGGATGCCTCGACCGGTGCCAGGCGTCACACTCTATTGTATCGTGGCCCGGACCCTTGGCAGCCATGCCCGAACCTGGTTAACTCAGCGTTGCATCTGCGCTGGAGAAAAACATCAGCTTGAGATCGGGGTCAGCGACGCCGAGCAGATGGTTGGTGTACAGCCGGCAGGCGCGCAGCCAAAGCACCAGGATGGCGTTGTTGACGTACCTTTGCGGCAGTTCCCGCCCGTGCTGTTGGCGAGCGTGTGCCCGTATCCCGGATTCGAAGAACCGTTCCAAAAACGGCGTGGGTTCATTGTCCAACGCGCACGCCTCCAGGATTTCGAGAGGAGCATCGCTGCACAACATCCCGGGGGATTGCTCCGCCAACCTGACGTACTCAGCTTCCTGTTCTCTGGTAATCAATTCAGCTGAGCCTGGGAAATGGGGAGGAGCCAAGGTCGCACGACGGTGGAACCACGAGGCGGGTTACCGAATCCGGCATGTTCCGGCAACCCACACCAACGTCAACGACTACAGGTTCATCTGCGGAACCATGTAGTTTTCCATCTTGTTATAAATCTGCAACCGACTGCGCTGAGAGTCCAGCACCACCAGACGCCTGCTATCCGGGTCATACATTATGTCCGTAGGCAAGGCGAATCGCCACTCCGATTCGGTGGTTGGAACCTCTCGCCGGCGTTTCAGGTAGTCGGCATTGGCAACGACCGTCATGTCGGCCCACTTGCTCAATTGCTGAGCATCGCCGATCAGGGAAATGATGAAATTCGCGTCGCGGTCGAAGATGTGGACCCGACCCGGGTGCATTCCGTTATCGCTCCAATCGGCGACGTAGACGTCACCCTGGGTATCGACGGTAACCTTGATCGGAAGGTGCATCTGTCCCCGGCCGGAACCCGGCTCCCCGAATTGAGCAAGCCACTGGCCGTCGGCGGAGAACTTTTGCACGCGATGGTTACGATGATCGGCCACGTACACGGAGCCGTCATTCCGGTCGACGGTTATTCCCCACGGAGAATTGAACTCGCCATTGCCATCACCCAATGATCCCCAACTGGTGATCAATTCGCCGTTGGCGGTAAACTTACGCACCTCGTGACTGCGGCCATCCGTGCAATAGATGTTGCCGTCGCCGTCACATGCGACGCTGGCGGTACCGTGGTCGGCGCCATCGTCCTGCGGCACGGTACTCCAACGGCGCAGGAAAGTGCCGTCGGTGGAAAATACTGAAATCCGATTCATCCACTCGTCCGAGACGTACAGGTTTCCGTCCGTGGACAGTACCATTCCCGACGGCCAGATAAACTCCCCCTCGCGGTCGCCGTATTTACCGAATTCGCCAGTAAACTCTTCGTCGCCGGGTTCGTCGCCCAGGTCAATGATACTGACGCGAGCGCCGTACGCGACCCTATTCCAGGGGACATTCGCGATTCCTTCGATGCCGCGATTCAATACGTAGATGGTATTTCCGTTCAGGGCCATTGCAGTTGGCTGGCTGAAACCCATACCGGATGCGGCGCCGCGTCCCACAGAGTGGCTGTAGTCATATACGCGCCCTTTCGCTATTTGCGTTAGCATAGTTTTACCTGCTCACTGTAGTGTTGTTGGTTTTGAGTCCGGCTATTGGGGATACCGGAGCGCAAGTTGACGGGGCCAGCAGAGCGAAACCCACTGGCCCCGGTTGTTGTTGCCCTCTGGGAGGTCCCGATCAACCGGAACCGGTCGACGCGTTTTTAGATGAATCGGGCCTTTTCGAACGTGCCGCCCACAATGGGTTGCGCATCAAGCCCAAGCCAATTTTCTACGATCGTTGAATACACGCTGCGGAAGTCAGTGCTGGGGACAAGGTCTCCCTGTTCCAGGTTTTCCGGACGGGACGACGGGTATTCACCATATTCGCCACCGGTCACCTGGTCGCCCATTACAAAGACCAAACCGGCTGCTCCGTGGTCAGTACCGCTGCCGTTGTCGTGGACACGGCGACCAAACTCGGTGAACATCAGCAGAATGACGTTGTCACTGGCATCGTTTTCGCGCAGATCGTCGAAGAAGCTACCGACCGCTGCGGAAACATCGCGCCACAGACCGTCGTGCATCCCAACCTGGTTGGAGTGGCTGTCGAAGCTGCCGTGGTCGCAGTAGAACACCCGCGTGCCGAGGTCAGCCTGGTGCACCTGGGAAATGCCCTTGAGCTTACGGGCAATCGGGGTATCCGGATACTCGACGGTGCTGTTGTATAGCTCGGGGGCGGCCTTGAGGATATCGGCGGCTTTGAGGCTGTCCAGACCGGTCTGGCCCAGGTAATCCATTACGAAGCCGCTGCCGATGGTGGGCGCGTAGAGGCGGGTGAACCGGTTGATGATCTTGTCTCGCTGGATTTCCTCCTGGATGCTGGTTAGCATCCCAAAGTTGTCCAGATCGTCGATGCAGGCCACGGGCACGCCAGGGAGCACGAGGGCTCGCGGCAGGCTGGGTCCGAAGTTTACTGCCGTAATGACATTGCTCTTGTTGGGATCCATATCGCGCGTAGCGCGGCCCAACCACCCCTCAGTCCCCAGCTTGTCCGGCTCGCAGGTGTGCCAGATGTCCATGCTTCGGAAGTGGCTGCGAGGGCTATTGGCGTAACCGACGCCGTGAATGATGGCCATGTCTCCCGCATCCCAAAACCGCTTCAGCGGGCCGACTTCCGGATGGAAGCCGATGCTATCGTTCAGCTTGACGATGCGGTCATCGGGAAACACCGACCACCGGACGGTTGTCCCGATAGAGGGGATCGGCGTATGGAATCACGGTGTTCATGTAGTCGTTGCCGCCGGTCAGCTGCAGGACTACGATCACCGGGTCTTTATTCGTTGCGGTCATATCGGTCGCTCCTGTGCGTTTACTATTTTCGCAGGATGTAACGGTGGAGGTTAAGCGTACTGATAGTCGCGCAGGGAGACGATCAGCTGCAGCATCTCTGAGATACGCCGTTCGCCGTTTTCGACGTCGGCTGACGTAGCCCATAGGATGTTGCCATCAGTTTCGGCGTGGGCAATCAACTCCTGACGGGTTGCGTCATCCACTTCCAGCGGTCCCATCAGATCGAGACAACCGTCCACCAGCTTGGCGGGCGAAAGGTCACCCTCAGCCTGGAGCCGGTCGATCATGGTGCGGATTCCGGGGCGATTCACGTCGCTGACCATGTCGGCGGTGAAGTTAATGCGCCGCATCAGGGAGCCGCTATTGATCCACTCTACACCGGTGTGCCAACCCTCTACGCTGGGTGGGTTCAAGAGGTCCTGACCCATGTAGGTGGGTTGACGGGCGATTTCGCCAAGGCCCGGCGCGGGAAATTCAAAACCGCCAACCAGACGCAACGTGCCTACAACCACTTCGGCGGGGTTCTTGAGGCGAGCGTAGCGCGCATTCTTGAAGAAGTCGCTGTTGAACAGGACCCGCAAGACGGCGGTCAGATTGCCATCGGATTCTATGAAGGCATCGGTGAGTAACTCAATGGCATCCTCATCCTTGGGCGGAGTAACCTGCCAGGCCGGAACTGCGCTTCGTCAGCCACGAAGAAGTTGTAGAGGTGTCGAGCGATAAACGTAGCGGTCGCCGGGTGTTCGCAGATGATATTGATGATGTCATCGCCGTTGAAGTTACCGGTCTCTCCGAGGAAGGTTTTGTCGCCTTGGTCGTGGTCCTCGGGAAGGTACTTGAAATTCCAGTCGTGGCGACCGATGGGGCCACGGGGCAGCTTGGGTTCGACCGTCCAGCCGGTGAAGGCACGGGACGCCTCCCGAACATCGACCTCGGTGTAGGTGCCCACGCCCATGCTGAAGAGTTCCAGCAACTCGCGGCCCCAGTTTTCGTTGACGGCGTCGGCATGGTTCTCGAAGTTATCCAGCCAGTAGATCATCGCCGGGTTTTTTGCAATCTCGAGCAACAATTCTTTGTAGCTGCCCATGCCCTTTTCCCGGAACATCGCCACCATCCGAGTAATCTCGTCGTAGTGGTCGACCTTGGACACGCCGGTAGCGAACACCTGGTGCCAGAAGAGCGCCATTTTTTCTTCAAGCGGGCGCTTGGTGTTGATCATGAAGTGGAGCCATTCCGCCGAACCCATCCCCTGGATGGTACCGGGACGCCAGGTCCAGGGTTGATACCGGACCAACTCGTAGCGGTCAATGGCTGGTTGGCTCTCGGGATTCAAAAACTCTTCGACGGTTGCCTCGTAGCCGTTTGGCAACGCGGATTTCCAGCTCTTCTCGGGTGGCCCCGAAGCCGGCACGACGCATCAAATGTGCCATCAAAGCAATGTCCTGCGACGCCATCGTTTAGCCTCCTTGGTAGTGTTTGGAGTTGTTGCGCGAAAAAGCTTCGCAATTCGTATGATAAACGTGCTCGCACCCAAAAACAGGGCCTGCCAGCACTCAGCAAGTTGGCACACATTATCTGTTATCATTTTGTTGTCTGTCAACGGCGCAGGGTGTCCGGGCGGCCCAATTCCCGGCGTTACTCCCGATTCCGAAACTGCCCCACGCTCAACGTGTCATTGCGCCGCAACGAACTACCCAACAGAGCAGCGCCACCACTGTTGGCGTTAGCGCTCATTTGGCTGACGTTGCCGGTGGTCGGGCCGCTGGACGATCACCATTTCGCCGAGCGAACGCATGCCCATCAGCACCTGTTTCTAAACGGTGCGCTTCATGAGCATCAACACTACTATGACACGCCGGGTCGCCAGCATCACGGAACAGCCGTAACCGGAGCGGATAGCAGAAAAGCAGGAAGCGACGGTATCGCGTTCATGTCATCAACGACCGCCAACGTTTTCCTTACCGTCCTGTTTGCGCCCTACCACGACAACCCGGAGAGACTTCGGCCAGGGTCGCCCCGCTGCTCCGACGGAAGCCCGTTACTAAAATCGGGTCACCGCGTTGCTACCCTTAACGGGATACACACTCCACCGCCCATTCCGCCCCCAATCGTCTAGCATCGCTCCCCATATAACAAACTACCGCCATTCGCGATTCGAGAGACAAGCGCGGGCGGATGCTTATTGCGGAGGTTATTTGCGATGCAACGAAACTACCTACATACATTTTGGGTGGTCGCTGCCCTGGCTATCGGGCTGACGGTGCTGCTCACCGGCTGCCGTTCAAACGACCAACCCAATGGGGCGGCCGGCTCCGATGGCGACCCGGCCGGAACAGTTGGTGCAAACTCAGCAGCGGCCCAGGATGCCCACACACACAACGGCAATTCGAGCCATCAATCGGGCGCTCAGGATAACGGCGGGGCCGTTCCGGATGATGCCGTCGTGATCGACTTTGCAATTGTCGAGCGCGGTACACAGCTGACGCGCAGCGATCTGAAGATCGATCGCGGAGACACGGTGATTCTCAATTTTACCGCAGACGAACCCGGCGAGATTCACCTGCACGGTTACGATCTGACCGTCGGGGTGTCTCCGAACCGTGTTAGCTCCCTGACATTCCCGGCGGATACCGCTGGCGCATTTGGGATCAACTTCCATGTGTACGCCAGTGAACCGGGCTACACCAACGGCCACGACCAGGAAACTGCCAATGGCTACCGGACCACCGCGTTGGAGGAAAACCAAGACGGTGAAAGTGCCGACAGCCAACAGGGCGGTCACAACCACGATGATGACAGCCCGGCGATACTTGCTGAAGTGCACCTGGGCAATCTGGAGGTATATCCCTAGGCTGACGGGCGTGACAACCTCTTGGCTGCTTCATTAACTGCATCGGGCCGACGTTTCGCAACGCCGGCCCGAATGATTTCAAAAACTGCCCCGGTATTACCGTTCGTCGATGGGCACGTATTCACGGTCCATCGGGCCGACGTAGTGCAGCCGAGGGCGCAACAGGATGTTGTTTTCGTATTGCTCAATGCACTGGGCAGACCAGCCTGGCACCCGTCCCAAAGCAAAAATGGGGATGAACAGGTCGGAAGGGATCCCCAGCAGGTGGTAGATCGAACCGGCGTAGAAGTCAACGTTAACGTAGATGCCGCGGTCGCGGTAGGGAGCCATCACGTCTTCGGAAAGGTGGGTGAGAATCTGGAACCAACGAGGATCGCCCCGTTTCTCTCCCAGCGCCTGCGATCGTTCGCGCAAGTGTCGCGCCCTTGGATCCTCGGCCCGGTAGACTCGGTGTCCAAAACCCATGATCCGTTCGCGGTTGTCCAACTTTTTGCGGGCGTATTCTTCGGCGTTTTCCGGATTGCCGATCTCTATGGACATCTTCATTACTTCTTCGGCAGCCCCGCCGTGGGCGGGACCCTTGAGCGCACCGACTGCTCCGGACACTGCTGCATGCAACGTAGAGTTGGTGGAGGCGCTGACACGGGCCGCAAAGGATGAGGCGTTAACACCATGTTCGGCGTGGAGTATGAAGTCCACATCCATGAGCGAGACGGTCTCGTCGTCCGGGATTTCGTTGAACAACATAAAGAGGAAGTTGCCGGCATGATTAAGGTCGGGATTAGGCGCCACCGGCTCAAGGCCGGAGCGCACGCGGTGATGAGCCGTAACTATGGTGGGAGCCTTGGCCGTAAGCCGAAGCGCTTTGCGGATGTTGGCTTCTTTGGAGTTGTCCTCAGATTCTTCGTCGAAGGCGGCCAGTCCTATCATCGCAGTTTGCAATACATCCATGGGATGGGCGGACTGGACTGCATCGATTACAGTGATGATCTCATCAGGAATGCGTCGATTGGCGCGCAGGTAACCATCCAGCTCTTCCAGCTGGGCATGGTTCGGCAATTCGCCGTACAGCACCAGGTAGACGATCTCCTCAAAGGTGGACTTTTCCGCCAAATCGTGGATGTCGTATCCCCGATACAACAGTTTTCCGATATCCCCGTCGATGAAGCTGGACTCCGTGTTGTCCATATAAACGTTCATCAAACCGCGATGTAGTTCGGGTTGATCGGCCATCATCGTCCTCCTTGGATTCAGTACACGGTCGTACCTGGCCGGCCGGCGCAGGTTGCTTGCTGCTTAGACGGGAAATGAGATACCCGCTTAATTGAGCCTCGTAGATGCAAGCGGTCAAAATATCTGGATATTCATCATCACATGCCCGTTCGAAGGTATGGTTTCAAAGTGTTCGACCATGCGGTGAAATATGCTAGCATCGGGTTCCCCGGAGTGTCAACCAAACGCGCAGCAGTGAGATGCCCACACACTGCGGCCGACCAATCGTTCAGGACGATTTTGCCAGTGCCGAGGTTCGAATGAAATACGGCGTGATTTTACCCAACGTTGGGCCGATGGCGGAAATTGACGCCCTGACCAGTGTGGCACAACGCGCGGAGGAAATGGGTTTCGACGGAATATTCCTGAGCGACCACATTGCCCTGCCCACCGATCTCCGTTCAAGGTACCCCTACCGGAGCGACGGTCGATTCGCACTGTCGGTTGACGACCCGATCCTGGAACCCATTACGACGTTAGCCTACCTGGCCGCGGTGACCGAACGGGTAGACCTGGGGTTTAGTGTGCTCGTCCTGCCCTACCGGCATCCAGTCCTCAACGCAAAGATGCTGGGGACGCTGGACGTGATTTCACGCGGCAGGTTGATAGTGGGCGCGGGCGTGGGGTGGATGGCAGAAGAGTTCGCTGGTCTGGGCGCCGATTTTGCGGTGCGGGGTCCCGTGACAGACGAGCATATCGAAATGCTGCACGCATTTTGGACCGAGCGCACCCCAAACTACTCAGGACGGCATTACAGCGTTTCCGGACTAGCCATGACGCCACACCCCATCCGCCAGCCGCGCCCGCCAATCTGGACGGGTGGCACTTCCGCCCCCGCCCTGCGTCGGGCTGCCCGCCTCGGAGACGGCTGGCACGGTGTTCGTCAATCACCGGCGGAGGTGGAGCAAGTGGCCCGGCGGGTCCTGCGGATGCGCTCGGACGCCGGATTGACAGCTGAAGGATTCGAATTCTCCCTGAGAGCCGGCGTGGACATTGCCGACCAACCAATGAATGGCTCGGGACGAACACCGTTACGCGGATCAGCTGAACAGGTTTCCAGCGATATAAAAGAATACGCCGCCGCCGGTCTCACCTACCTCGTCGTGGAACCGAGGGCGGCCAATCCAGCGCAACTCACCGACCAACTGGAAAAATTCCGACGAATGACAACGCGCCCCGCATAACCACCAACTTCGGAATTCGCGCATAACCCGCCATCATCTGAGCCGGGTTTTCCCTTTGGATGTATGATCTTTTTGTTCAGTGCATCGTCGAGTCGTGCCGGCCGTACAGCAAGAATGGTCTGTCGAATTCTACTGTCCCAAGTGAACTAAGGCATCCCCATTCGCGAGGGCAGAAATCCTGGCGGAATGCGTTTGCACCGCAGTACGCCTCACATAGCGTCTCGGTCCTGCGGAGCCGCCGAATCACGCACCCCGAAAATACGCTGCGCGGGCCGAGCCGTGTGATAGACTAACCGCCCGCATCATGACGCTGAACACAATTTCGATATAGAGCGTAACCCCCAATCCACCGAAGATATGAGTGTCGCGGTGTG